AGGTTTCCACTTAGGCAAGAAAAACCAACTATGGTATATAGGTACAGACTAGGTGAAACTTGGCTTAATGACACTAACTGTGAAAGGGATTTGGAGTCCTAGTGGACAGTCACTTAAATATGAGCCAAAAGTGTGTGGCAGCAGTCAAAAAAGCCAATGCAACCACAGGCTGCATTAATAGAGGGATAGAATCAAGATCATGTGATGTACTACTGCCACTTTACAAAGCCTTAGCAAGACCATAGTGGGAATATTGCATCCACTTCTGTCACCACAATATAAAAGAGTTGAGTTGTTGAGACTCTGGTAAGAGTGCAGGGAAGAGCAAAAGAATGATTAGGGAGCTACAGGCTGAAGCATACAAATTGGGTATGTCTAATCTAATAAAAAGAAGTACTAGGGATAACATGATAACACTGTTCCAATATTTGAGGGGTGTGTCAAAGATAAGGGGGTCAAACTATTTTCCAAAGCATCAAAAGGCAAGACAAGAAACAATGCTTGAAAATTAAGCAGGGAGAGAAGCAACTTACTAGAGCAACAAGATTGCTCTTAACATTGAGAGCAATCAACCAGTGGAATAGCTTGTCTTCAGAAGCTGTGGGTGCTCCATCACTGAATGCTTTCAAAAAGAGCCTGAAAAACCATTTGTTTGAAATGCTATGGGGCAGTGATGGTTAACCTTTTTTGACTCCTGTGCCAAAAGCAGGGGGAGTGCAGGGGGGATCGTGCACAGGCATGCCACACCCATGCTATGCATGCGAACACAGCGCGTATACGTGTGACACCCCCCTGCTTTTGGTGTGGGTTTTTTGTCTTTCTAGGAGGCCTGGGGAGGGTGAAAACAGCCTCCCCCTCCCGAAGCTTTAGGAACTTCCCTAAAGCCTCTGGAGGGTGAAAAACGGGCATACGAGCAAATCGGAAGTCCATTCCTGAACTTCCGGTTTGCCCATAGGACTGGTTTTTCATGCTCAATGGCCTCAAAAGGAGGCTGAAATCAGCTGTCCAGCGTGCACATGTGTGTTGGAGCTGATAGGGCAACGCCTCGCATGCCCTAATAAATGGCTAAGCATACCACCTGTGCCATAGGTTCACCATCATGGGTATAGGACAAGGGTGTCAAACTCGATTTCATTGAGGGCCACATCAGGGTTGTGTTTGATCTCAGAGGGCCAGGGTGGGTGGAGTGGTGCATGGCCGTGGTGGCCATGGCCATGATGAGTGTTTGACACAGGCTCAGGATGCATTTTTTGCCCTTTGCATTCAAAACAGAGATTTACTTTCTGGCACAAATAGTCTGTCAGTGTTCCAAATATCATCCAGAATTAAATCAGAGTTCAAGGCATAGCTTTCATCAAAGTTCAAATTTAATAAGAGAGACATGTTGCTACATTTGTGGAAAACCCGAATCTGAAAGCTTCCTGGATTTACCACCCAGTTGAAAGTTCAAGACCTTGCCCCCACACCCACAAGTTCATCACATGGTCCAATCTTCCTCTGCCACACTGGCATTTCCACCCATCTAGTTCCGGTCAGGTTCAGAGATGCAGAGACAAAGTCCACCTTGGGCTTCTAGAAAGGAATGTTTTATTTTGACAACACCACATTTTTCAATTCTACTCCTTACTGTTTCCCCTCCCAACTACCCCACTAATGAAACAGCATAGTAAAATAATAGAGGTTGTGGCAGGCCAAAGATCCTAAAAGGAATATGACTGCAGGCCTGACATAGTCTCAATTTCATAATGTAGAGTTTAAAGACATGTAGAGTCTCCAGCTGCTATGGGACTTGACTCTTTTGTATATGAGCAGGAGCATAAGTGAACTGACAATTTCTCCAAATGTCTCTAAAAACTGTTTGTCCAACAGTCTATCAATCTTTGTTACTGTTGTGGGCTGCGAGCTGCCAGTGGAACTGGCAGCAGACTGAGATGATGAGGTGGTTGGGGAAGAACTTGGGCCAGTTCTGGAGCCTGAGGAGGCTTTGATGGATGCTCAGCGTCAGACACAGATAGAGCCAGGGCCATCCGGCATTTCCTAGAAAAGCAGTTTCCTTTGGAGTCAGAGATGACTGAGGAGGAACAGCTGGGGCCTGGTCCAGATGTATGTATGTGCAGAGCAGATAGGAGAGTTGAAAACGGACGACAATGAGCTGGCTCAGGAAGCAAAACAAACGTGGACGCTGACTGGCCCCTCCCTTACTGGGGAATAAATAGGAGGAAAAGGGAGTAGTTTGGTTGTCACAGACAATCATTCGCATTTCTGGACTGCCTTGCCAGAACACAGGTAAAAGATTAAGATAAAAAATGACAAACTCAGTGATACGAGGAGGCTCACTCTCTCATCAAAGACCTGGGTGAAGAGCCAGATGTTTTGGGCTCTTCTGAACAACAATCATCCAGATCTTGGAGGGTACCTAGTTTTAATTGGCAGATGCTGCTAAAGAGAAAGTGAAGAAGGTGCTCCCTCCTGCAGCACTCTGCTGGCCAAAACGGGTCGCAGGGTGCCTCTGCCTCCTGCCCGTGGGGCTGGCCTTGAAATATCAAAGGATCGGGCCACGGTGCCTCTGTCAGCCAAAACAGGACACAGGGGGCCTCATGTGGCCTCTCATGGCCCATTTTGGCCAGCAGAGGCCCCATGGGCCAGTCTTTTGATATTTCCAGGCCGGCCCTGCAGGCCAGATCTAAGCACTCCGCAGGTCGATCCGGCCTGCGGGTCTTCAGTTTGACACCCCTGGTATAGGGTCTCCTGCTTGAGCAAAGGGTTTGACTAGAAGACCTCCAAGGACCTTTGAATTCTATAATACCAGTTCTATGAATTCTCTTTTCCCCCTGAGCAGAAACAGAGAAATGTGGAATTAGGGACAGCAGATATGAGAGAAATAGAGCCAAAGGATAATATGATTTATAACTTTTATTTTTTTATTAGTCAAATTATTTTGAGTTTGCAAGTAGATGTTAAGAAATAAAAGCTGAATGTGATGCATGCAAAAGTAAACCAAGGAAAACTTGTTTCAAAATATTAAGATCCAGTAAAGATAAGAGAGCAAAATAAATTGTTCAACTATCTGAAACTATTAATATTTTCAATTAAAAATATTCAGATACTGATAGCTATCTTGTTCAATGAGTTTTCTAATGTAAGGATGTTAATAAGATACATGCTTGTTTGATCTTGAAGCATTTTAACATTACCACCTCAGTTTCAATTCTTATTCTGTCATACAGTAAAAAGATAAAGGTAAAGGTTCCCTCACACATGTGCTAGTCGTTCCCAACTCTAGGGGGCGATGCTCAATTTTGTTTCAAAGCCAGCGCTGTTTGAATACGTCTCCATGGTCATGTGGCCGGCATGACTAAATGCCGAAAGGCCACAGAACGCTGTTACTTCCCACCTATTTTTCTACTTGCATTTTTAGGTGCTTATGGCAGAAGCTGGAACAAGTAACAGGAACTCACTCTATTACATGGAGCTAGGGAATTGAACTGCCGACCTTTCTGATTGACAAGCTCAGCGTGTTAGCCACTCTGTCATATAGCATATATGTACTTTTTTGTGTTTTTCCAGCTTTTCAATGCTTATATTTTTAAGGTACAGTAGCTAACATAATACAAATTCCCTTCTTAATTTCCTATTACTTAGATCAGGACTAGGCTAATTTTAATTACCCCTAGGATTACTCAATAAAATTCATGGCAATCGGAGAATTTGTACCCAGTCCTCCTCTATTCAACCATCTTTGGAATGTGCTTACTATTTACCTGGAGATCACTATTACTTTTCTTTCTGCAACTGCTGCCTTTTCTCTCTTATTCATATTCAGATGTAGAGCCCTGCTGTCATTACTTTGTATTTCTTTTATTTTCCTGGGAAGACAGTTAAATTGTTTATACGGAAACTTAAAAATAGATTTCCCCCCACTGTTTTAATCTTTTAGACCCTGCATCACAATGAACATATTTTATCTGTACATATCTGCTAATTACATTATATAGTACTGAATATATAGTACTGAAATCTATACAGACAGCATGAACTTATCTTTTCTTTATGGTCTATATTAAGTGGGTTGTTCATGGCAATTCAGTCTGAAAGCATTCATCTTACAGATGTATTAGGAATGCAGGCAATTGGTACTACAGTGAAAAACATGGATAAAAAGTCAGGTATATTGCACAAAAATGTCAAAAATGATGTGTGGTTACAGAAAACTTTATTTGGCTTAGCTATCCAGACAACTGTTTATCCTTAGTGGGGGGATAATGGAAGCAGTTTGCAACACATTTTATTGAAAAAACATGACCTTTCATGAGCTATATCTCAGTTTATGTCCTTAATAACATTTTCTACTTAGAAGAAGTGCTATTAAAGTCTGATATATTGCTATCATAGACCAGCATGGCTCTCTTCCTACAATATCTCAATAGTGGGACATCACATGAGTACTGGTACCTGCAGAATATTTTGGGCTCATTTAAGATTTAATAGTTCCAAAGGTGGGTAATAACTAGATCTAGTATCTTAAAGGTAAATGTAAAGATTTCCCCTTTCCTGTTATGTCTGACTCTAGGTGCTCATCTGTTTCTTAGCCAAGGAACCAGGATCGTCCGAAGATAATTTCTGTGGTCACAGGACCAGCATGACTATAAGCTGAGGTACATGGAATGCTGTACCCTTTCTACTGTGGTACCTATTTACAGTACCTATTCACATTTGCATGCCTTCAAACTAATAGATGGGAAGAAGCTGGGGCAAGTAACGGGAGCTCACCAAGTTATGTGCCCTCAGGTCTCCAAAACCGGCTCTCAGCTTTCCACCTGACAATTCCATGCTAGGAAGGCTAGATCAAAAGATCTGAGTAACATGTCTACAAAATGGGGAAGAAAAATAGGGGGTTGATTAATAGTTTTTATTGGGGAGGTGAAGTGGTTCAGCAGTTAGGACACTGAGCTTGTTGGCTGGAAAGCCAGCAGCCCAGGTTCGAGATCCGAGCGCCATGCAACAGGATGAGCTCCCATCCTCGATCCTGTCAACCTAGTAGTTTAAAAGCATGCAAATGTGATTAGATAAATAGGTACAACTTTGATAGGAAGGTAACAGATCTCTGTGATGTCATACTGGCCACGTGACCGCAGAGATGTCAAACAGTGCTGGTTCAATGGCCTTGAAATGGAGATGAGCACTATTTCCTATAGCCTGCAACAACTAGCGGAATAAAATCTGCAGAGTCCTTTTACCTTTATTAATCAAAGTAAGCTTTGATGAATAATTTTATTATAGGATTCAAGGATAAAAAGGATAGATAGTAATGAACTGATTTAGGAAACCAAGTCCTTGGAAAAGAAATTCTTAGCAGATATTGTAAAGAAATGAAATTGTGTGACAAGCCAGGTAATCGTCTCTTTTGCCATAGCACCTGCTTCAAATGTACTGGGATATCAGCTTCTTGCAGGAGCGATTTATAAAAATGTTTCAATGACTAGTAAACCATTCCTAATATGTGAGCTAGATTGACCACAAAAACAAGCCCAGTGTCAAGATTGATGTGATAACTGGTTGGCATAGCTTCTGCATTTATATACATTGCCCGGCCTTCAGTTTTTAAAGGTGTGGATGTAGAATAAAAGCAACCAGCAGTTGTTTTAACTGGTCCCAACATGGCCATATCTTTGCATAATGCTTAGCTGGAGATGGGACGAAACTGCAAAGACAGCAACCAAAAGCGAAATGCAATTTTCAGAAGAACATTAGTTCTTTTTTATGATCTAACTCAACCAAACAGCCTTTGGTTCTTTAAACAGCATTAGATAGCATTCTATTTATTATAGATCTTCCTCCTGGATTTCAAGGATAATAAGATCCTTGGTCTTAATATTTCATGCTATCCACTTGACTGAACATTAAACAAAGCATCGACAAAATAACAATAACCCCAGAGAATTAAAGCAGCTTTCTTCAATGTGTCCTCTAGGCGCGCCAAATGCAAAGATTGTGGCTAGAGAATGTCATCCAATGCACCTGGGTTGCACCAAACTGGGAAACCACGTTTAAAGAATCCTCCGGTTCCTGGCGCTCCTCAGGCTCTTTCCCGCACAGCAGCAATCCTCCTACGCATCTCCTCTAACATCCTTCTCCCAGCTTGCTTGACTGGCTGCATTTCAAGTCCTTACCAAGCGCCAATTCTCGCAGCAACACACGGCGGCTTCCTCACTTTCTTCTTTCGCTACTCAACCCCTTGCTCCGCTCCAAGCAGCTGCCACTTCGGAAACTTTCAAGACGGAGAACCTGCGGGGAAGAGCGGAGGAGCCGCCTTTCTCGACCGGCTAGTGGCTTGGATCAAGCATTCCATAGGACGCTTCATTAGCGCGGGCTTTTGCAAGCCTTAAGGGCAAATATCAACAGCAAAGGGAAGTGCGGTTAGTTTGTCGCTCGGCGTTCTTTCGTCTCTAAAGTTTCGGGTTTCTCGGGCGGGATCCTCCGTCGCCCAGTTGTACTTTATTCTGCAGCGAGACGCTCGAACTTTAAGGCGGCTCTTTCGAGGACCTCGCCCAGGATCTCTTCACCCAGTCTAAGAAAAAGGTGGGCTCTTAATTGAAGGAGACCCTAGTTCTTATCCTTCGAGTTTAAACAAAACAACCCCGACGACGCCTGCCATGTCCGAAGAGCGAGGGAAGACAGAAGCTCGATCCTGAACTATGCGATCCCTGAATATTACGCCGGAACAGTTCGCGCAGCTCTTGCGCAACAACAACATAACCCGCGAGCAGTTCATCGCGCTCTATGGGCTCCAGCCTCTGGTCTACATCCCGGAGTTACCTGAGCGCGCCAAGCTGGCCTTCGTGCTCACTTGCGCGGCCATCTTCGGCCTGGCGCTCTTTGGGAACTGCCTGGTGCTCTACGTGGTGACCCGCCGCAAAGCCATGCGGACCGTCACCAACATCTTCATCTGTTCGCTGGCTCTCAGCGACTTGCTCATTGCTTTCTTCTGCGTTCCTTTCACTTTGCTGCAGAATATCTTCAATAATTGGCTGGGAGGTGAGCTGGAGAGGTTGCTTAGAGCCTCGTCCTAGCAGGCGGGCGCTTTGTCTGCCAGCGGTGTGTGTGCTTTTGCTAAGAATCTGTGCCTCAAAGGCTGCCATCCCCTGCATACCTTTCTGGTTTCTTAAGGCTGGGTTTCCTTTTAACCTTATGTTTATGTGCACAAAGAAGGGAATGTAGAAATGCGGGAAGTGGGTGTGAGTAACTGACTTTGTAATAGAGAAAAAAGTATTCTTACATCTTTGGAGAGGTAACCTCTTTGTCACTCTTTCTATTGCTCTTGTTGAGGTGTAGAGTATATGTGTAAAGGGTAGGGTTTTCAAAAGTCCTTGCTTAATGGAAAGATATTACTTCCCTCATTACATCATTCTTAACAGGTGTATTGGCTTTAGTGCTGCGTTGTGGAATCTTGAACCTAATGTTAATTCTTAATGTTTGAGAATTCTCTATTGGCAAAACTTAACTTCGTGCTGGGCTTCAGTTTCCATAATTTCCAGAGTCAACACATTGGGAAAAGCTGATTTCCATTTTACAACCGTTCACTGTTATCATACCATTATTAGTAGCTCAAAAGTAGAAGGTGGCTATCATACAATATAACATTTATATTTATGCAGTTAAAACTTTTAATATGTATACGTGCTTATTATCTCAGATGCAAGATATAAATTATAATCTTACTAGGATCTAATTTTAATAAGTACAGTGTTTCCTATGGATTATTTTCATGGTCATTTCTTTATAACTTGCCATGGCAGAATTAAAGTGTTCAGAAAACTGTCTTGACATTGTTAGTACATAATTAGGAATCATACAGTATCTGTGTGTATACTATCAAACTTAAGAAAGAGTATAAATATATAACATTAGCTCTCTTAGTATTTTAAAAGTATGCATTTGTTTTATCACTGTCTTCATACTGAACAGTATTTCTCATTCCCAATTATCTACTGACTTTTTAAAACCTGGGGGTAGACTATTGAGAAAATAAGATGTTTGTGCTGCTGGAAAGGACCTCTTGCCTTTGCAGATCTAGTATTCTATTGAATTATTTGAAGAAATTGATTAGTTTTATATTAATATTAATTTCATATTTGTAGTAGATTATGATCCATTATATAATAACATTCTGGATCCCTATTCCCATCTTCTAGTTTTGTTCCCTATCAGAATTAGAAACTGGTAAATGACTGTCCAAAATAATCATTCCATTCATTTCACTTCAGAATTAGACTGCAGGAGAAGCTTAAACTAATAATGTTATGTATTCAAAATCACAGCCCTGTGGTTTTATTATAATGCACAATAATCATGTGTAAGACTGGAGTAAGTCTAGAAATTAATTGGAGTAAGTTTAAATGGGCTTCATCATCTATAATCCCAGTCTGAGACAACGACCCCTTTTAACAGGTTTTATGTTATTTATTTATTGGAATTTGTAAGCAAAAATGAGAATAAGAATAAAAGAATAAAAATAAAATGACAGGGACGATAGACATGTTGGTGCACTTATGCATACCCCCTCTGCTGACCACTTAAGTATAAAGTCCACAGAAGTCAACAAGTTTAGAACGATTTACATTGAGTTTAAAGTGGTTGTTCACGCACGTATTATTGCGATTAAAATGGATAAAGTCATTTACAGGTAAAACAGGCGGCAGACCACAGCAACCTGCTCAATCCTTCTGAAGCACTAGATATTTTGCAGTCAAAACCACATTATTTGTGTTTATGTATGTCCTAGTCCCATGATGGCAAATCTATAGCACGCATGACAGGTGGAATGCAGAGCCCTCTCTCTGGCCATGTGCGCTGTTGCCAACTGCTCTTCAGCTTTCTGGCGTGTGCATGGATGTTGGCCAGCTAATCTTTGCATGTGATGGAGCCCCGGAAATCTGAAGAGCAGCTGGCCAGCGCACATGCACGCGTGCCAAAAACCCAAAGAGCCTCTTGCTGGTGCGTGCATGCGCACTGGCCAGCTGCTTTTTGAGCTTCTGGGGCTCTGGTGTATGCGTGCACACGTGCATGCCTGCATGTTCCAGTTTCAGCACTTGGTGTCAAAAAGGTTCGCCATCATTGTCGTCGTCCACGGTTTCCTTTTAAGCTTTCTAAATAAAGTGAAGTAACAAATTCAAGGAAAACACATTTACCACTAGTTACTACGCTATTTGCTAATCAGTTAATATTATGTATCTGTGTGTATGTATACATAGATACATACATCATCAAGGTGTTTTTGATCTTTAGCAACTACTACATTCTCTATGATAATCTGTCCCTAACCTGTTCTTTCAAGTTTGCCAACTGATTAGGCAGGCTGATGTTACCAAGAGAAGATAGTCTGTAGATATCCAGACCATGAACGATGGAGGGATTTGAAAGTAAAATTGAACATTTTGAATCCATTT